CAGAATGTAAATATCTGGCAAGTGTTGTGCAGGCTCGAAGTGTTGAGACCCACCCACAGTGGGCGGAGCTTGCCCTGAATCGCAGGATACTCTTTTTATAAGTTTGTAGCTCGGTTCCAGAACACTCCAGAAACCGGGAAAAAGAGGATCGAGGTCAGCGAGGGCTGGGCCGATTGAGGATTGCGGGGCACAAACATAGTGGGCGGGGCCTGCTTCGAGGTGGGCGGAGTTAGACGAAAAATCTGTGAAAAATGGTTCCAGAGCACTACGCGGACCGGTAAGGTCAGCAAGGGCCCCGATGCAGAAACTGTGGCACACATTTGTGGTCGGGCCAGGTCCAAGGTGGCTGGAGCAAGACCAAAACGTTCTGCTTAAAAACGGTTTCCAGAGCACTCCAGGGGCCGGAAAAAAAGTGGATTAAGGTCAGCAAAGTGTCACCGATTGAGAAATGTGGGGCATAAATGTTGTGGGCGGGGCCAGCCCGAGGTGGGCGGAGCCAGACAAAAAATGCAAAACGGTTCCAGAGCAGTCCAGACACCGTCAACATGTAAGCAGAGATGTGCAGGACCTCAGCTGTTGGATATATGGCAAGAGTTGTGTGTGTCAGTGGTGGGTTGTAACCCGCTCCCAGTGGGCGGAGCGCACGACGTACTTATTCTTACTGAGTTTTAGCGCGTATTCTGCCATACTCTTAACCACCGGTCACATAGGTATTAGATTCCAGTCGGCTCGGCGGCTGATGCCAGCGCTCCTCCTCCTGTGATACGGGCCAAGTTGGCTTCGCCACACATTCCTTCCCCAGCTATTCTCTCGCCTGTGCCCATAATCGACGCACTTTAGTACCACTCCATACTCAGTAATAGTCAAAATAGCAGGGATGATGTATTTGTCGAGAAGCTTTAACCATGAGTACAGAACAAAAGCCTGATATCAGTTGAGTCTAGAAATATGTGAAAGAAGGTACGCGCGGCGAAGCCGCGCCCGCCCGGCGCAGCCGGGCCGTATCAGAAGGGGCGCGCCGGCGTCAGCCGGCGAGGCGACTGGTTACATATAATCCGCTATGTCTGTGTATATGTGTCACGAAATTCATAGCGACCGTTCCCAGTTGCTGTAGGAAGTTGATTCCAAGCAGTGATATAGGGGCTGTGACGGGAACATTATTGGTGGGTGACAGGGAGTGATATCAGCTGATAAGATCTGATAAGAGGCGTCAGAAGGGGAGGGTCACCGAGCCCATAGTGCGGGACACAGCATAGTGGGACATTGGTTCCAAGGTATGATATAGGGTGTGGGACAGGAACATTATTGGTGGGTGGCAGAGAGTGATATCAGCGATCTGATAAGAGGAGGTTTGCCTTTGTGGTGTTGGGAAAACTTGTTTCCGGTAGTGGAGTTTCCTCGGTTTTCCATGTTTATAGGTTCTATATACACCCCTCGCAAGACAACAAAATTTAAGGAGAGATTTTGGAAAACTTTTGGAGAAATTTCGAAAGAACTGGTAAGAAAGTTGGAGAAAATCTGAAGGAAATGGTAGGCATCATGAGAGAGGCGAGCCGTACTTTTTTTGCGACCTTGTCCGTTTCAGGTGCACCGTGTACCCCCCCCCCGCTCGACAGCTCGATCAGAGGAGAGAACTAGGGGGGGGGGGGGGCGTATCACGCCACCTTTCATGAGGATTGTTCGGACGTGACCAAAATCCCAAACTAATGATGTGCCCTGTTCCAGACACTCCCGATCGGTCTATTTTTGCTCTTAGCTGGGCAGAGTCTGATGGGCTGTGGTTGTAATCAGCAAAGGTATCAGTTAGGAGTCGAGTTCACGCAAACGCGATACGCGGTAAAGAGCTTTGCTGCGACTGTGCATACAAAACCGCTTGTCAATTGATTTTGCTACCATACATGACAACTGAAAACCTCACCGTTCCATATGCAGCTCCTTGGCCAACACTCCCAATTCTCGCCATAGCAGTCGACCGTAGCCTTTACGACGAAATTGTGGACGCACGTAGATATCCTCCATATGGATATATTGTCCTTCCCATGTAGAGTACGCATAGTAAAATAGAAGAATCGCCGCCGGTTCATCGCACTTCACGCAGCTATCGAAACCATACGACGGCTTTCTTTCGAGATCAGCTGCCAATCGCACAGGCTCATCAATTCCAATTAAATATTCAGAGATTTGCTCGGAGGCTGTCAAACAGAAACAAAATGAAGAACTTTCCACACAGTTTCTAAATGCTTCTATACGGGAAGCATTCAGTTTGGGCATTTGTGGCTGCCATACTGAATCATCGTCTAATGTCTTGAAAACATGTTCCGCCACAGTACTTCGTAGGCAGTGGGGTTCAGAAGCAGAAGTTTAATTGCTAGCTGGTTTACAGGCAAAAAGAAAGCAGGAAAATTGCCCTTGAGTAAGACCTTCCTTTTATAGGTTGATCGAGAGTCACTGGGGCGAGCACAAGGTGGTTTAGATCGGATGCAATACGCTAAAGGCCATGGTACACTGAAAGCACGACCAGGAAACGATCAGTGTGGAAGTAGAACGGCGCTCGAAGACAAATAGTAAACTGACTTCCGGGGACCGTAGTTTCCATGTGCGAGATGAATGAGCCTCGTAGCTGCAGTGGTGTGCCAGGTTATTTACTCAAAAGTGCACGGACTAAGCATGCTGGCCTCGATTACAAGATCCGCGTAGGCGAACACTTACTCAACGTCCAGCTTCTCTCTTCATAAAACCTCGGCATTATTGTGAACTTTCAAGTTTTGATGTGTTCTGCCAAAGAGGTTTGTAGGTGGAAGACTTTATTAAACTTGGCCTGACGTTTCGACGGGATCGTCGTCCTCAGAGGCCAGTCCAGCCACGGGAAGCATGGAGGCGGAGTGAAAGCGATGCGCACTGGCAGCTGTTAGTTTGGCAGTTAGTAAAAACTTAGACTTTATAACTGGCAGCTAAGTGAGTGGCATCGTTGACTCGCTCTATGTGTGGTGGACTGGCCTCTGAGGAGCGACGATCGCGTCGAACGTCAGCAAGTTGAATAAAGTCTTCCCACCTAAACAAACCTCTTTGCAGGAACACCTGCAAAAATTGAAAGTTCACTTCGCCAATTAGCGCGTTTGGCTATGGTTAGGCATGTGGCTGGCTGTGCGGCAGCGCGACCGGAGTGGAGGGATGAAGACGGCACCCGGTAGCGACTGCCCTCTCAGCGCCGTTCCGGGGGAGCACTTTTGAGAGAGTAACGTGGAAACTGGAGCTGGCCGGACCCTATTCTCGCGCACACAACGGCAAGGGACAGGATCACAGAGCGCAGTTTTACAATTTGTCTAAAAGCCAAGGGTAACTCTGGGCCGGATTTGGGCTAATTGAGTGGGCCTAAGCGGTCTAAACTTAAGCCTAGCGCTTCCGAACTGGAATCGGCTGAGTAAGTCCTCTCTGCAATCGCGATGCAGCGGCGCTCGGCCCACGATTTAAGAGGTCGCTAGGTTATATTTATCTGGCAGTACCAATGCGCCTCTAAAGCAACCTAATAGGTACCTTTGTAAATCTGACCCACGCATTTTTGACCTGGGAAGCCATGTGAGCTGATTAAAGCTAGGCTTCAGATCCGGAGTTTTCCTGCATCCATTACCGCTCCAAAATATGTGGTCTCTGATTGAAGACGCGAAAACGAAATTATTATGAAAAAAAAACTACATCCGGCATATTGCAACGAGCGTTCGCGTCAGCGTGGTACATGTCGCCCGGCAAATGGGGTTTATGAGCCTTGGCTGAGACGGGCGCCATGCAGCCCAGTGTTAAAGTGTATCGTCGACGTCAGAAGGTTTATCAAGCGAATACCAACAGAATAGGGTGAAGGCAGAAAGAAGAAACGTTTACCTGACGGCGCGTGTTGGAGTAGCAGAGTCGACAATGAGCAATACAATGCAAGTGAGGTACTGAGGAGATACTGGGGCTAATCTTATCAGCACACATCCTATCTCCTCAACACCTCCCCTTTTAAGTAAGATCGTATGATTTCTTCTTAGGATCGCTCGTGTGAGGTCGGATGTGGCGTTGAACGTTTGCGTGAAGATCGTCGTAGTGGTGGTCCTGGCGGTGCCGATGAGCATGGTGTTGAACCGTTGTGCTGCGTCGAGAGACTGGATGAAGTTGGCGTCGTAGCATTGTCAAGCATCGTTCGATCGGCGGGAGTGGTACGTTCATTGCGGAGTGGAGCGAGATCGAAAACGTCCAGTAGTTGGTCGACTATGGGAGCGTGATCACGACGTTTGAGCTGATTTGCATGTCGTGTCCATAATAACACACGAGCGCTCAAGCGATTATGTGACGTGTTGGGCCTAGAGCCGTCGTACGACAAGCGCCGGGCGGTCGCGATGTGGCTTTTTGCGTTCTGGCGATAATCGCTTGGGCGTAGACAGCATCATGCGTTATGCGAAGTAGCGAACGGTCCGTGCTCCAGTGATGCGTGTTGAATTGTCGCTCTCAACTTCCGCGTGTCTCGTGGTGCATGTCTGCTCGTTGGAGGGCGGGCATGCAATCAGTCAGCTGTGGTGGTGATGTGCCGACGTCCCGGCGGCGCGCAGAAAGGTTTTCGGCGTGGCGACAGCTGATCTGGTCCCGAAATGCAGGGCGTTGAACGGTATGCCATCAGAAAGGTTTGAAGTGCATCCGATGTTGCTTCCTCCCTCTTCAGTTTGGATAGTCCTCTCTTGAATGTATCCACAAAACGCTCGGCCTGTCCATTGCTTTGTGGATGAAAAGGAGGGGAGCGGATCGTGATGTGGATTCCTCGACAGACGGCAGAACTCCTCGGCAAGGCAGTTTCACGGCTCCTTGCTGGAGGTGAACTGTGTGCCGTTGTCCGTGATGAGCGTCTTCGGGTTTCCAAACTGTGCGAACATCTTCTTCATAGTCCTGATTGTAGCACACGATGAGATGGAGTTCATTTGGATGATCTCGGGCCACTTTGAGAATGAGTCCACGACGACCAGGTAGAATGTCCCTTCCAGAGGACCTGCAAAGTCCGCGTGTACTCGGTCCCATGGCTTGGTTGACTTTGGCCAGGACTGGAGCTCGGTCTTCACAGGGTTCTTGGCGGCTCCTGCGCAAGAAGTGCAATTCCTGACGAGGTTGTCGATATCCGAGTCCATCGATGGCCAGTAGACATAGCTTCGAGCTAGCATCTTCATTCTCGTTTGGCCTGGGTGGGCTTTGTGGAGCGCTTGTAGTACTCGACGTTGGAGAGACTTCGGATGAACCAATTAGCGGCTTTGAAGTACAAGCATGAGTCAGTAAGTTGATAGGGAAGGTCGGTGCGGGCCTTGTAGAAGTGAGCCAGAGTGGTGAAGTTGCGATCATTGGCCAGCGTCCAGTTCGAATGCAGTTGATGACTTGAGATAGAACGCGGTCAGAAGTAGTCGCGGTCTGTATAGTTTTGAATGAGACCGGAAGGTGATGGCAGTGATCCATTACTTCAGCAGAGACATCGGCGTCGATGGCGGCGATGACTTTATCTTCCGCTTGAGGTGACTGTGCGACGATCAGACGAGAAAGAGCATCAGCTTAGACCGGTGCCCCGACAATCCTTGGTCCGCACGTACTCCATGTTGAAGTCGTAGTTCAGTAGTATAGTAGCCCATCGTTGAAGGCGGTTCGCTGTGTAAATCGGGACTCCTTTCTTGTTTCCGAATATCGCAATGAGCGGCTTATGGTCTGTCTTCAGTGTGAGAATGACGTCGCGTGCACGAATCGATGGGAACTTTCTGAAGCAGGCGAAAAATTAGGAGCGCAAGGGCTTCTTTGTTCGATTTGGCTGGTAGTTTGCTTCTGAGGCTGGAGTCAAGGGCTTCGCTGGCATGCGTAGATTGCTTTTTTCGGTTCCCGCTCCGGAAATCGGTGGAGAGAAAAAAACAAGCCTTTTTCCAGTTTTTAAAAACCATAGTTGAGGCATCTGCGGCGACGATGAGTGGCAGTGAAGCGTCGTAGTGTGTGAGTAATAGATCCGATCTGAGAACTGCTTTGATGCGATGGAAAGCACGACTGGCGAGGGGGCTGGGGGGCACTCTGGGGTCCATGAGTAGACGGCATCCTTTTTGGAGTGCGTCCAGCGGGGCGCGTAGGTTGTGCAGACCATTGACGAACGTTCCATAGAAGTTGACTAGGCCCAAGAAGGCTCGAAGTTGGCCGATGTCTTTCGGTGCAGGCATTCGTTGAATTGCTTCGATCTTTGCAGGGTCCGGTCGACGTCCTTCTGCATCAATCACGAACGAGCATAGTAGTTGAATTTCGGTTTGTTAGGGCAGTGAGCTTTCCCAGGTGGGAGGGGGGCGAATGCCGAATCCAGAGTCATGGAAGTTCTCGGGAGAAGGCTTAACCAGTAGCAGAGTTGTCGCTGCGTGTGAGGGGGTGGGCTAATGAAATAGTGGGCCGAGTGACTGAAGTGGTGAGTCGTCGATCCAGGCTATGCAGCAGTGGCCATCGTCGGCAGTAAATAAGAGCATCCATCTGCTGCTGGAAGATTCCTGGGGCGGCCTTCACTCCGAAGGGTAAGCGGTTGAGGCGATAGAGGCCGCGGTGTGTATTGATTGTGAGGAGCGGTCGAGAATCTTCATCTACTTCCAGTTGAAGGTACGCTTCGGCCAGGTCCAGTTGAGAGAAATAGCGTCCTCCGTTCAGTTTGGCAAATATTTCTTCTGCCGTCGGAAGTGGATGTTGATGTTGCATAAGGGCGTCGTTCAGGCCCGTAGAAAAATCTGCGCACAGCCGAATTGTTCCATTCTTCTTTTGAACGACGACGACAGGAGCGGCCCAGTCCGAGTGATCGACCGGCGTCAACGGGGATGTCAGGACTTCTTCAGCTACTAGACGGTCGATTTCTTGTGAGATGCGAGGTTGGACGGCGTAGGGAACGGGACGGGCTTTCCGGAAGACGGGCTTGGCATCCGGCTTGAGTTTCAGAGAGGCTTTCGATTTTGTGCAGCATCCCAGGCCTGGTGCGAATACAGCAGAGAACTGCTTTCTGAAGGCTGCACGGTGAGCGACTTCCGCAGAGACGGGAGTGTGGCTGCTGACACGGCATTGCAGAGAGCATTTCCAGTGAGGTTTTGGAAGAGTGGCTTGACTTGTGAGATCCAGTCGAGTCCTAGTAGTGAAGCAGTGTCGGCGACATGACAGTTTCCTTCTCCTTGGTGACCATCGATTGAGAAGGTACATTTGAAGTAGCCTCTGACGTTGATATCCTTGTTATTGGCAGTTTTCAGCTTGAATAGTGACGGCAGCAATTTTGGACGACCCATTGCGATCCAGTCCTTGTCACTCATTCCAGGGCAGTGTGAATGTCGCTGCCCTGTATGCGAACCATACGTGTAGAGACTCCATTGATCTTGACGGTTCGGTAGATACGGTTTGTCGAAAGTGGGTTGCTGGTGGAGGATGCAACGACCACAACTTGATTCGTCCTTCTGTGCTTCTTCTTCGACTTCGGAAAATTCCGTCTGTTCCGTCTGTTGAAATTCTTGCAGAAGCCTTTCTTGTGTCGCAAGCCGGTTCCTCATCGAGGTGGCAGCGTTTCTCCACAAACTCGCATTCCTTGGCCCAGTGTTGTCCTCCACAGCGAAAGCAAGGTGATGGCGGCTCCTTGCTTTGACTCTTTTTGGAATTAACTGCGTTGACTTCCGACAGTGGTGCTTCTGCAGACGGTGGGTTTGCCCGGAAGTTTGGCATCTCGTCGAATATCCAATAGCTGTTGGATCTCGGTGCTTAGGTCCCGAAGTGTAGTATCTGGATTGGTCTCTAACTTGCGTAGAGCATGAGTGCGAATATACGAGCGTATTCGGCAGCAGCTAGACCACAAATCCAAACGAGGCACTTCATCTGTTCCGGCGTAATTGTACTGAACTCGGCCATTTCATGACGCGCCCGGGCCCGATTCACCAGTCCAGTATAGTCTCGTAGATTCTCACCATTGCATTGGGTCCTGAGGTAGGCATAGCGACGTGCGAATACAGATGAATTGTGCCCGAACAACTCTTGCAGGATCTTCACTGTTTCAGCGGCCATGGAACATCAGCACTCTTTCCTTGGAGAATAATAGGTTTGGTGAATCGTGCATAGGCTGCTGCATCCAGCTTTGATACAATAATCCGCGCCCTGGTTGCATCGTCGAGTGAAGCGCCATCCTGCATAATGATATCCTCGTAGCGACTATACCACAGGTCAAAGGTGCGGCCGCTTTCTGGGTCGTGTGTGAAGACCGGTAGGCGTGAAGACAGCGAATTGATGACGAATTCTGCCGACGTTGTGTGGGCTGTCGGTGGGGCCATTGTCTTGAACATGCCCTTCATCTCCATCATCACGGCCTGCAGCATCTTCTTCTGAGCCTCCGCTTGAGCGTCGAGGATTGCCCGTAGAGTTTCTGCGTCCATGTTGAGTCGGCTTCAATCCTGATCCTGATCCTGATCGCCAATGTAGTGGTACGGTACTCGAACGTAAGAAAGGTTTATCAGCGAATACCAACAGAATATGAACAGAAGAAGAACTTTACCCGACCGTCGCTTGGGAGTAGCAGAGTCGACAATGAGCAATACAATGCAAGTGAGGTACTGAGGAGATACTGGGGCTAATCTTATCAGCCACACATCCTATCTCCTCAACAATCCCAGAACGG